AAGCTGTCCCCAGCAAACAGGGCTTTGGAGTTGTGCTCTGGCTCTGCTCCAGCTCCAGGCAAAAACCTGGAGCTCCATTGCTCCGGAGCTGCTCCGCACTCCAGCTGCGGGCTCTGCTCCAAAGCCCTGCCACCAAATGTTTGTTCCCAACTACCTGAGCTACAGAGTGGCTGGTGACCTGAAGCAGATGAATGTCTCTCCCTTTCAAAATATTTCCGTACTAGTACTAAGGACTTTGTTTAAATTCTGCAAAGCTTTTCTCTTGCTGGTCACTCCAGCCTCATTTGGCACTTTTCCACAAGCTGCATTCTAATCAGAACATGCAACTAAGAGAAACTAGGGATGAATTTGATTAATTATGTTAATATGCCCATAGCGCTCTGTAAGGTCTCCTTGTTTCAGGGTCCTTCCATTTGGACAATTACCTCCACCTTTATTGCAAACAAATCTGGCCCCGGTGGTTTGTTATTAATTTTGTGACTTTCTGCCTGTGTGTGCATTAAATGAACTCTCCCCATGCGCACACCCTCTCATTCATGCTTCCGACCCTTTTCCTCTCTCATATACATACACATGCCTTTTCATTTCCCTCTACCCCTCCTCTCTCGTTGTCCCCTTATCTCTGTCCCACACACTCACTCTGTCTTTCCCATTTCACAAGCACCAAGTTTATCTTAGTTACAAAGATCACAATGTAACCCCCTCTTCTGACCTCTCTCCTACTGCCATCCTTGGCTCAGAAGAGGCTGGGCCTGCAGTGGATGTGCCAAATGCTTTGCACTGGGATCCCAATTCCACAACACACCAGACCAGAGCTGTTAACATGTAGATTTCTCATCACATAATTAGAAGAGGGGCCAATAAAAATTCCAAGCCTCTTTGACACTCCCAAATGGGACGGCAGAGCCTTGGTCCTGACCAAAAAAATTGCCTCACACACTGGGTTTATTTTATTTTGTAAAAGATAAACACAGATTCTAGCACATCATAGGATCCAATCCAGTGTCCTTTGGCCCTGGCACCCTGAGGGGCCAAGAGAGGGTTTGAGCTGGGGAGGCGGTGGTGGTAGGGTAAGCAATGCTGAAATGCAACTCAAGCCAAACCAGATAAAAAGCCCTGGTATCTTTGGGATTGGAGAGGGAGGAGAAGCGGCAGAGAGATGAGGGAGGGGTTGTCAGCAGCATAGTGTGATCCTTTCCAATACAGGATCCAACCCAGTATAGCTGTTATGGTGTTAACAAGTGAACCGAGTGAGACCACATTGCTAACATGTGATTTATATTGCCTGACAGCTACATTTTGGCATGAGAAAATCCCAGGAACCTTTATTTTTTCAGCCCCCATTCTCTGTGCCAGCCCCATTTTGGCAAACTACAAATGGGTTACACTGATGGCTTTCACATTCTGTCTGCACTTCTCCCTGCTGAGGAGAAAGAAAGAGCGAGAGAAGCCCCATCAAAGGCTCACAATCAGCAGTCCTGAAAGCCACTTCAGAGCCATCCAGGAGGGGATGAATAAAATAATCCCTCTTCAGATCTCAGTCCTGCCACAGAGAGCTATGAAATCATAGAAGTCAGAAATAGGGAAGATTTATTCGATCATTTTGTCCATCTCCAGGGGACAGTATAGGACTGTTCCTCCACAGTGTATTTTCCAGTGCTTTGTCCAATCTAGTTTGTCACACTGACAAATCAGAAGCAATGTGCTAGAGAAATCCATGCTTGGAACATAAAGAGTCTGGCAGGATGTGTTGAAAATTGACGACTGAGTTTTCACTGAGAGAGATTAAGTCAACTCCACGAGCTGGCTGGTGTTGTCAGTTCAACATAATGCAAGAGAAATTCCATTCAGCAAGCTCCACAGCAGGGAAACAATCGACAAGTATTACCTGGTGGATGTTCATACTCGGCAAGCAACACCACTGTCACCTACACAGGTGTGGATCCTGGCTTTTCCACATGTGCAGGAGGCACATTTCATCTCCCACATGTGCAAGTACTGTGTGGCCTTAGTGCTTCACTAACCCATGTGAATGACTCCTCCACCCCATCTTAAACCCTCGTGATCAACAGCAGCTTCTTTAAGGTACAATGAAATAACTCACTTGTGGGAGGAGACTGGGAAAGAAGCAATATTTTCTGTTTGATTGACTGAAAGCAATGGGATGTGTGTTTGTGAACTCATTAACAAAGCAAATCTGGTCTTCCATACCTTTATGTGCATACTAACATGCATACAATGTGCATATGTGTATGCCGTGAGCATCTGTGTCAGCCCTATGCACATAATATCCATGTATTACATATGGTACATGCCTGCACACATGTACAATGCAATGTCTTACATGTACATGCATGTGTTGTGTGTGCATAAGATGTATATGTTCACACAACATACCAGGTGTGTGAAGGGGCACATTTAAGTCTGTAACTGTCAGTAGGTTGACATAGATAAGACACTTGCGTGTGGCTCTCACTGTAACTCTGAAATGCAGATGCCTGTAGGTTCCCCCTCTCCCCACCTCCCATTTCCTTTCCTGTCTTTGCAACCAATACTGCTCTGGAAGGCTCCTGGCTAGGGAGGCTGGTTATCCTCTCACTTCAACCAGTGAAAATCAGAAGCAACTTCATTTAAGTCAACGGTGTTACACTTGTGTGAAATTTGTGTACATGAGAGGAGAATCTGGGCCTGGGTGTCTTTCTTCTTCCCTGCCACCTGGACTGGCTGTCCATTCCCAAAGCTCAGGACTACAGCAGAGATCTCACCTGCCAAGGAGAAAGCAGTTTGCTGCCAAAGAGAAATCTCAGTAGCCCCACACGCACAGCGCTCTGCTGCTGCTTCCTTTCTCCCTCATCAAGCATTGGTTATTCTCTTGTTTATTTCCTAGAGAAAAGCTGGGTCCCACCCAGATCCTGCTTCTCAAAGCAGTATCCCAGCACATGCAATTAACAAGGTCCATTCCAACAGGCTGCAGGGGTCCCCTTCAGTGGTGAGTTGGAGCCGGTTTGCACCGGTTCGCAAGAACCGGTTGTTAAATTTAGAAGCTGGTGTAGAACCGGTTGCTAAAGGGGCCGGCGGGTGGGCAAACTCCAGTCCGTGGGCTACATCCGGCCCGCGGGACCGTCCTGTCCAGCCCGCCTGAGCTCCCAGCTGGGGAGGCTCTCCTGGCCCCTTCCCCACTTCCCCCTCCCTCGCAGAGCCCCAGCGTGCCAGGCTGCCGGCACCAGCGCTCTGGGCAGCTCCTGCCACTTTGAGCAGCATGGTAAGGGGGCCAGGGCTAGGAGGATAAGGGGCAGGGAGTGGTTTGAGGGGGCGGAGGTTCT